AGAAAACAGATAAATTGGACTTCATCAAAATTTAACACTTTATCTCTCAAGTGACACTATCAAGAAAGTGAAAAGAAAACCCACAGAATGGGAGAAAAGATTTGCAAATAAATCACATCTGTTAAGAGTCAGGTACGTAGCACATCTAAAAACCTCTTATAACTCAACAATAAATAGGCAATTAACACCTTTAGAAAATCAGCAGAAGATTTATTTGAATAGACACTTCTCCAAAGAAGGTATATAAATGGGTAATATGCCCATGAAAAAGATGTTCAATACCATTACTTATCAGGGTAAAGCAAATCAATACCACAATGAGATACCACTTTACACCCACCATGGTGACTATAATGAAAAAGAGACAATAACAACTGTTGGCAAGGATGTGGAGAAACTGCAAATTCTCACGGGCTGCTGTTAAGAATGTAAAATAGTGCTGCAAAATTGGAAAACTGTGTGTTTACTGTGTTTGAGCAGGTACTCAAAAAGTTAAACGTACACCCAGCAATTCTACTGCAAGGCGTACAGCCAAGAGAATGAAAATACATAACCACATGAAATCTTTTACATCAATGTTCATAGACTCATTCTTCACAATAGCCACAAAGTGGAACAATCTCAAATGTCCATCAACAGACAGATGGATAAAGAAAATGCAATGTACTCCCACAATGGAATCTTGTTCAGCCATAAAAAGAAATGAACTTCTGATACATGCTACACTATGAGTGAATCTTGAAAACATTATGCTAAATGAAAGCCATCAGACACAAAGGCCAAATATTTATGTGATGCCAGTTACACAAAATGTCATGAATAGGCAAATCCACACAGACAGAAAATAGGATGCCAGAAACTGGAGGGACAGGGGAATAGGAAGTAAATGCTAATGGGAATGGGAGGTGGGAGTGATGAAATATTTTAGATTTAAATAGTGGTAATAGTTGCACACTTTGTGAATATTTAAAAAAAAAAACTAAAGCATACACTTTAAAAAGTGAAATATCAATAGTGAATTATATACATTTTAAATTTTTAAATGTACTGCAGCCAGAAGGAGAATGTATCTCAATTTTTTAAATATACTGATAACTTCACAAAAGGCCTAACACCTACTTGTGATAAAACTCAGATAAGGACACTTGACTTTCTTTTTCGAACCTTCAACTGTGCCCTCCTGGGTCTCTCCCAAGCATACTATCCTTTCTTTCCTGTTCTAAAGCCTTTTTAAATAAACTTCCATTCCTGCTCTGGGAAAAAAAAAAAAAAAAAAAAAAAAACACTCAGATAAGATAAATAGAAATAGATAGAAAACTACCTCATTTTGATAAAGAACACCTACAAAAATCCTACAGCTAACACCACACTTAGCACCTAAGATGGGAACCAAAAAAGATGTTTGTTTCACCACTCTTATTTTACATAGTACTAGAAGTTCTAGCCAGTGCAATAAGACAAGATAAAAGAAATTAAAAGCATACCTATCTGAAAGAGATAAAACTGTTCCTATTTGCAGATGACAAAACTGTTTATGTAGAAAACCCCACAGAGGCTACAAAAAACTTCTACAACTATTAAGTTCAGAAAGGCTATAATCTAAGCTGTGTAAGGTATGAAACAGAGAAAGGAGAGGATGGATGGATTTAGAGAAAGTGGAACCGTCAAAGGTTTGAAGTTCAGAAGAGATCAAAGAATTACACTGAGAGTTGTGTTAAAAAAAAATGAAGAAAGAGAATGAGAAAAAAGAAAAGAAAGGAAAAGGAAAGAGGAAGAGAGAAAGAAAGAAAAAGAAAAAAGAAAAGAAGGGGGAGACGGGAGAGGAAAGAAGAGAGGAAGAGGAGAGAAGAGGAAAGAAGAGGAGAGAAGAGAGGAAGAGGAAGAGGAAGAGGAAGAGGAGAGGAGAGGAGAGGAGAGGAGAGGAGAGGAGAGGAGAGGAGAGGAGAGGAGAGGAGAGGAGAGAAGAAAAAAAGAGAAGGTGGGAGGAAGGAAAGAATGGAGGGAGGGAGGGAGGGACAAGAAAGCGAAAATTAGATAAAGAGGGAGACAGGTTTTATTCTATCACTACTGCAGTTTCTCTATGCCATCTTAATGTTCAATGACAGAAACGTTCAGTGAAGGAAATTAGGTGGTTTGTCTTTTGAAAGCAATTGAACATTTTACTGGTCTCTCAAAATTGTGTAAAGAGATGAAAATCACTCAGGTTAGAAATTCTATAATTTTACACATATGGCTTTATATTAGTTTCCTTAAATATTTTGGCTCTAACAATTAAAACAGTAATACTACATATATAAAGCCAAAAGCTGAAATTATAGGCCTCCAAGAAAATTCTGTTAAGGATTCCTTACCATTTGCTATTTTTAACACAGATGTCTAAAAGAACTGTTTCCAGCCTCAACCCTGCCCCTGTGTGTGTGCAGATGCACACACACATAAAGGGAATCTGGGGGCAATATTTACACCTAGCCATTTATAATAAAAGGCTACTTGTGATATGCCCAATGCCACACAGTTTTGGCATTCCTGAGGATAAAATCTTATGTGTCACATCACTGGAACCCATAGAGTATATGTACAATCTTTTAGGCAAGATCCCCAACGTGGATGCAGTCTTTCTCCCCAGTGCCAGCACTATAATGAGATTCTGTTTCATAGCTGTAATACTGGCTTACAAAGCACAAACTCACTTTCCTGCCACTGCTTTTACTTACTTGCCCAGCATGTTGTGTCCTAGTGCCAACAATTTTTAAACTGAGAAGCCACATCAACGACACAAATACACCCACACAAAAGTAAAATCATATGTCCGGCAATTAACTGTTTGTGAAGGCCTGCCTGTGGACACCCAGCAACCCCACTCATCACAAGTGCACTACTCGGATGCCAGAATTCTGGCCCAGCTCTGCCAATGGTATGTTTTTACAAGTACATATAAAAGTATGTACTAATATACTGGGTAAAGTAGAGAAAATTACACCATGATTAAAATTATATACAAATTATACAATTATAAGATGATGAAATATAAGAAAATGTAGTGAAAAAAGATTTTTGATGGTAATAGCTAAATTATGATATTCATTTTCTATTATTTTTTACAATCTATGAAAAAGAAATAAAGAGATTAATGAAAGCATTTTTTTTTTTTTTTTTTTTGAGACGGAGTTTTGCTCTTGTTACCCAGGCTGGAGTGCAATGGCACGATCTCGGCTCACCGCAACCTCCGCCTCCTGGGTTCGGGCAATTCTCCTGCCTCAGCCTCCTGAGTAGCTGGGATTACAGGCACGTGCCACCATGCCCAGCTAATGTTTTGTATTTTTAGTAGAGACGGGGTTTCACCATGTTGACCAGGATGGTCTCGATCTCTTGACCTCGTGATCCACCCGCCTCAGCCTCCCAAAGTGCTGGGATTATAGGCGTGAGCCACCGCGCCCGGCATGAAAGCATTTTTTAGATCACTTTAGGCATTTCATATAGAAAACATGCTGTTCAAAGAAAAACTTCTTTGGAATAATAATAGGTACACAGCAGAGTATGAGTCAAAAGGCTTGCATTCTGTTACGTGCTCTGCCCTTATATACCAAGTTACTTTGAGGAAAAGCCCTCAGACTTTACAGTCTCAAGATATTCAACATGTGAAGGCTTGTACTAGTAAGACAGTAGTAGTGATGAGAATTACTGGGACTCGGGATGCAGTTTTAAAAGTAAACCCAACAGGATTAGTTAATGAATTCAGTACCGGTTGTAGCTAAGATACTTAAAAATTCTAAAATAGCTTAGCTATGATACAACGAGGTATCCAAGGTTAGAAAAAGTTATTCTCAGCAATTAACTTTTTGGTGTTTTTTTCCTTCATATAGGAGTAATTCACTCCTATCTTTTCCTCTCCTTCTGGAATCACAAGAATTACCCACTAGTCCTCACGTATCATCACAACGTAGTGAAAGGAATACAGGAACTGGACACAATCATTATTCAACAATACTTACTGCACACCTATCCCAAGGGACTCTTCAAGGCACTGAACTTATGCTCATTGAGAAAAAACAAAAAGAACAATAAAGGGAATAAAGTAAAGTTCCTGCTCTCATGAGTAAACACATATTTTTCTGGTGATACATGCTAGGAAGAAAACTCAAGCAGGGTGAGGGCACAGAGCTTTCCCTTAGAACCCTGGATGTGCTATTCCAGTGGCCTCAGTAATTCAGTGATACTGTATGAAGGGAGAGCTTCATGGAATAAGGGAGGAGGCCATAATGATACCCAGAGAGTGAATGCTTCAAGCAGAAGGAATCATAAGCACAGAGGTCCTGAAGCAGAAGATGCTCAGAATGTTCAAACTTAGCAAGGAGGTCAATGTGGCTAGAGCAAAGAGAACTTTCACAAAGAATAATTCAAATGACATCAGAATGGTGGTGGGTGCCAGATCATGCAAGGCCCAGTGGGCCATGGTGAGTCACTGAATTGTAGCCTGGGTGTGACGGGAAGCCTCTGGAGGATTTGGAAGAAGATTAACATCACCTGACTTATGTTCTAAAAAGATTACTCTAGTTGCCATATGACAAACAGACTTTAGGCATGCGGAAACAGTAGAAGAAGAGATACTGTTCAGGAGGGAACCACAAGAGCCCAGGTAAAATCCCATGACAGCTTGCGTTAGGAAGACAGCAGCAGTGATGAGAATTACTGGGATTCAGGATGCAGTTTTAAAAGTAAAGCCAACAGGATTAGTTAATAAATTCAGTACAGGGTATGAAAGAAAGTCGGTGATTCACTCCATTGTTTCTGGCCTGGAAAAGTAGGTGAATGAAAGTTAAGTTTTAAGACTTAGAAACTCTTGCTCAATTACCTAATTCAGCTGTTCACATATAACATAAACGTTACGGATGTAAAACTAAAACACAAAAATAGCAGTTACATTTTCTACTCACCATTTGCAGATTGGATCATGTTTCCAGATTTCTGGACTTCATCAAATTTCGTAAAAATTACATTCAACCTGTATGAAAGCAAAAATATAAACAAACTATTGATCATCGCTGCTCCATAGCCATTAATATTAAAACCCTAATGTGAAGTTGATCTCCACCACTCCCCCTAAAAAAAAAACCAATGACACAGACCTACCTAATAACAAAACACAGTGACTAAATCAATAACATGAACAATAGCCAACAATAACTGGGCACTTACCAAGGGTAAAGAATGGGCCTAGAAGTCTATCTGAAAGATCTCGCTTAATCTCCTTGAGGTGACACAGGTGTGGGGTGGAGATTCTAGCCCTGCGAGTAGTCATCCAGAGCCCCTGCTCCCAGACATTATATTAAACTGACTACTCTACACAAATGTATACATTTGTGTGTTTCTCCTATTTCTTTCTTACCACAGACTATCAGTTACTTAGGATAAAGCTTTTCAGAATGCACTAATAGTACACTACAAAGGCTTGTGCTAACTGCTGTGACTCATGCTTAATCCAAAAATGCTATAAATAATTTCTCCAGAAAAAAACGCTGTGACTGGATAATCTTCAGCTTTAAAAAGTCTACATTACATTGACTTTCTATTAATGGATCATTTCACCTGGGCATTTAAATTAATGCAAAATTCCCCACCCAGTCTAAATATTCCATCCTAGTGACATCAAAAATGAAACGAAAAGGTGGGAGAATGCGATCTTACCTAGTAGGAAAAGTTAAGAAAAAAGAGACTTTCTCAAGCAAAACACAGGTATATTAGAGTAAGTATAAAGGTTGAGATTCCCAAGCAATCTGTGCATTCAATTTTAGGGACATTTTAGTGCTTTTTATCACACCATCCTATCCTGCCAGCTCCAATCATTTCAAATATGTTTGTCTTTTCTTCTCACGTGGAATGGAAGCTCCTTAGGGGCAGAGATGGGAGCTGCATTATTTTTGTATTTGTACCAAATACTATGTATGCCATGAGGACGCTCACTCAGGAGAGTTACAACACTATGTTAGACACCTGGAACCTAACTCCTTACTCTGGAAAACTGCAGTATTCACACAAACTCTGGTGTTTGTTCATTTGTTCATTCACTCAAAAATACCTGAGTGCCCATTATGTGCCCAGCACCGAGCTAGTGAGCTCTTACTCTCTGGAGCTTAAGCTCTAAGTAACAGGGAGGCCAAAATTACACATCAGCAAATGAAGGGGATGAACCAGCCTGATGCACTGCCCCTCCCCATTGCATAGGAGACACCAACAATCTTTTCAAGCCTTCTTTCCACCAAGTCCAGATGTTCCCTCAGAATCCTTCTTAAAACTATTCCAGGCAGCCACTACCCATTAGTTAAAACTGAGATTAAATAAATGCCAACTGCCATCTCAGGACCAGATATTAAGTAAAATATAACTCACTTTCAAATCCAGCGGTTACTAAAGAACTGGAAAGATGCCTTACATGATTGTGTTTCTTAGGATGTTTCTATTACCTTCCCTTTTTAAAAGTAACAAAGATCTCCAATGGTTTGACAAACTCAGAAATAATATCATGACACGGGTTGCCAGGCATGCCCTCACTAAGGCACTACTTTATTGTGTCACAAACACACCCTCTGATGTGAGCATGCCGGCAAGTTTGCAAGTTGGAGCCAAGATATACCTCTAGTCTAGTTGTTCCTGAAATTACTGGAAGAGGGCAAGTATTTCTTCCATTCCTGGGAGAGTATTCACCATTATAGATGGCAACTGTGTACAAGTCCATGGATTCTTTCTCAGTGGTAAGACATTCTCACCGTGGCCACATTACCCACAACCTGGCAGGCATGAACAACTAGGTATGAGAACACTGTAAACATAACTATTATTGGTATCTGCATCTTCATTTAGAACTCCCTCCGCTTTCACACTTCTGTCTCACTAGCTCCCTTGTTCTCTGCTCATTAATGCTGTTATAACAGCTCCCATCAAGGTTACCACCTAAAGAGACACTCTAACACCAACAAAGCATTCCTTAGGAATGAAAGGACTGGTTTTTGTTTGCTAGCTCTGAGCACAAAAATATAAAATGTCTCTCTTGGAAACTATTGATTCACACAAATCTTTATAAAAGGATGAGCTTTATATATTCAAGGACATTGAATATATAACTAATGATTACCCTCTGAAGCCACCAAATTGTTTTATTTTAAATCTCTGGATTTCCATTTAAAATAAATTTCTTTACTGGTTTGACAAATAACCACCATCTTCCTCTACTTTTTTCTGAATTTAAATTTCCATGTGAAAGTCTTCAATCCAATTAGAATTTATTTTATAATAAAATTTAGTTCAAATTAGTTTCTTCCTAGAAAATTTTATATAGAAATTTTAAATAATTTCCTAGAAGCAAATAATCACAGCAATCTCAGTCAATAAACTGCATCCATATACTCAGAGCTTCTAGCATGAAAAAGAGAAACCAACATAAACACATGCTTTAAAATCCCAACTTGGAAGACAGAAGAGATTCTGAAGAGAAAAGAAAAGTTTTAAAAATATGTCATTAGTGCTTTCAAAGACATAAAATATTGTGATCATAAAACAAGAGAGGAGCTCTTTAAAATGGCAAAGTGAGGACCCTAGAAAATCTGCTTCAAAGAAGCAAAGAGAACTTTGGCAAACACTGTCCAATCAACTTTTTAAAACCTTTGTAAATTCTCATGAGAACTCACTATCACAAGAAAAAAACAAAATCTTGTAAATTGAACAAAGGCAGCTTATAACAATCTGAGTAGTTCTTCAAGAAAAATGGCTGAATCTTCGTAAGAACAGCAAGATCTTTCATTGTTCTGCTGTGCCTATATCTTTAATCCAATAGCTGAAAACCAACAGTCTCATCACTACGGTTAAGTGTGAAAACCAGCAGCCTGGCAGCCACTAGAAAGAGCTGAACAAGTCTGAAGCTCCCTAAAAGTCCTCATTCCCAAAGAGCTTATCATTCCACCTATCTGGCACATCCCTGTAAGCCCATTTGCAGGACTTGTCTTTATTGGACCCGACTTAGAGCTTGCTCAACATTAGAGGCCTTTTCCCCGAGGTAATGATCAAAACTAGCTAGTGACAGCTGTTTAATACAGCAGATACCTGAGACAGCAGTAACAACTGGGGCAAAGAAGCTGACCAAAAATAGGGGGAAAAAAGCTAGAAATTAGGATGTCCACAGCAAACTTTGAAAACACTGGCATACTCTTGGGAACCTGGGAGGTCATGCATATGTGCAAGGCTTTGCACATGCACAAGCCCAAGAAAGACCCCAGAAGGCTCTAATGTCCCTCTGGCTGACTCTGACACTCTGAACAAGCCAGAAGGAAAAAGGAAGACAGAGGTGTCAAACACCTTTTAGAGCACTGGGAAGCATGCCCTATAAACACAGAGCCAGTCAGTAGAGGCTGGGAGACTTACTGGTTCCACACATTTAAGGAAAACTCTGTTCAATCATTAGCTGACCACTAAGCTAATCATCCAGAGAATTCAGTGGCCACATACAACAAAGAACAAAGACTTTAAAGAATTCATTCGAGAAAGTCACTAGACAAAAATAACCAACAAAAACAATAAACAGCAACAACAAAAATTCTGGGGAGGGGAAAGAATATGGTTTCCAGAGTTGCCACAATATATTATTTAAAATATCCAGTTTCAACAAGAAATTATGAGACAAAGAAACAAGAAAATATGACCCACACAAAGGAAATAAAAATGAGTCAACAGAAACTATTTTTAAGGAAACCTATACATTGACCTAACTCAATGAAGACTTCAAGTCAACTAATATAAATATGTTGGAAGATCTAAAGAAAACTATTTCTGAAGAATTAAAATAATAAGAACAATGTCTCACCAAATAGAGAATAACAATGACAAGAAAGAAAGTATTAAAAAGAACCATATAGAAATTCCAGAGATGCAAAGTACAATAACTGAAATTAAAAATTCATTAGGAGGAGTTCAATAACAGATCTGAACTGGGACAGGAAGGGATCAACAAATTTGTAGAGGAATCAATTGATATGATATCCTATTTAAGTAACAAAAACAAACAACAAAAACATGAACAGAGCCTAAGAGATCATCATACAAAACCAATGTACCAAGATACTCACATAATAAAAGTACTAGGCAAACAGAAAAGAAAGAAAAGAAAACAGGTATTCTTAGACTACAAAAATTTTCCTTTTCCCCATCTTTTCTCAGGAGTGGAGAACATGCACTATTAAAAGAGAGAGGATATAGCACAATAGGGTGACTATGGTCAATCATAACTTCAGTATATATTTTTAAATTAAAGCATGTGACTGGATTGTTTGTAACTCAAAGAATAAATGCTTGTGGGGATGTATACATGATGTACTTATTTCACGTTGCATGCCTATATCAAAGCATCTCATGCATCCCATGAACATATACACCTATGTATCCACAAAAAAAAAGTTTTTAAATAATTTAGGCCAGACATGGTGGTGCACACCTGCATCCCAGCACTTTGGGAGATCGAGGCAGGAAGAGCACTTGAGACCAGCATGGGCAACATGTTGAAACCTCATCTGTACAAAAATTACAAAAATTAACTGGGCACGGCAGCATGTGCCTCTAGGCCCAGCTACTTGGGAGGCAGCAGTGGAAAGATTACTTGAGCCCAGGAAGTCAAGGCTGCAGTGAAGGCAGCCAGTCCAGGGTGAAACAGGCTTCAGGGACTTACACAACTGGCAGAGAGGTTAGCAAGCAGAAAGTATGAGTATGCAGTAAGTATACAGGCAACTATGCAACTGAAAGTAAAACAATTATGAACTCCAGGAAAAACAAAAAGTTGTAAGAAAACGGTAATCACAGTTTACCAAATATTAATAGTAAACTGTAAATAGCATTCATAATCATAATATAGACATCCTTACCAAAATTAAAATATGACTTTATTTGGTAGATGAGATTGGAAGCATATATGAGGAAGGTTAAGAGAAAAGAGAGCCTAAATTCAGCCTCCATAGTAAAAAGTGTAATTCTTATACTGACAAAAAATTTTAAAAATAGCAATACAGGCCTATTATTGGGAAAACAGTAAATAACAAAAGATTCAATAAAAGCAGCTGACAACATTTGCCTCCAAGGAGCAGAAAATGGCAGAAAGAGTGAGGAATTGTCTTTTCAAAAATGTATCTTATAAATCTAGTTGAATCTCTGTATGTATAAAGAACTATGACAAAAAATAAAATTAAAAATAAGTGATGTCTCAGAGCAATTTATCACCTGCTTTCACCTTGGGTTCTCTCTAACACTAAAGCTTTAGCAAGCAAGTTAAAAATTTAAAAGTACAAATTTTCCCTTTCCGAAACAATCATTAAGTAATAAAACCTGATGATTGTTTATAAATTTTAAACTACATAGCAAATGAGCAAATATTATGAAATTTTTTTTTTTAAAAGTAAGTTCATAATGTAAGCTACCAAATAATTATAATGAATCAAATGATCTGTATCTCGGCCCTCTCTGTAAGTTAAATTATCTTTAGGTTTAAAGCTACTGCTTTTTAGAAGCCTGGTTCCCGAATGATGATCCCAGAGGAAATTTAAAACCAGTGACCTTTTTCCAAACACTCTCTAAACTAAAATATGTGATACTGACTAAAAATATTTTCTGGAAGATTCAATGGGATGAGAGTGAATGTCAAGGCATGCTGAAAGTCTATGAAAGTAAGTAACAGAGTTACATTTTAAGTTGTCAGGTATGCCTCACAGAGTATCACACAACTACACGGTATGTTAGGATAGACAGCTAGAAGTTATTTATTTTCTGAACATATATATATGAACTATGACAATAATACATGTAAAAACCATGTTAAATGGTCAAATATTCTATACCTTTAGGGCCTCAACTACTCTGAGATTGCACGTGGGTAGGGATACCCGCTAACCTGAAGATTTTGTTGACTACCTCCACCTTATTATCTGGCTCGAGATGATTTTGGCCACAAGATGAGAACACTGAAATAACAACAAATGGCCCCAAACCCTAATTCCAACTCCTCCAAAGTGAAGCTGATTGCATAGGTCTCTTTTCTCAACTGTGAAATGGACAAAGAAAATGGCTGCTTGAATGAGATTACTACTCTTGTTAAGCCATGTAGGTGATCTCAGTAAGGCATTTTCTTCACCACTTATTTCTCAGAAATATAATTTTTCTTCTCAAAGTACTCTCTTGATGAACAAACTCTTATGAGGACATTTTTATTTGAGGACTAAATCCAAGTTTTGGAAAGCATTAAGCAAATTTTACAATACTGTAATAGTCCTATGGAAACTTGCTAAGTTGAAAATCTACTATGCTCTCAAAATTACCAAAAAATCTGTTATGATGCAAGAGAAGTCTAGATTATTCAAGTAACCCAGTCATCCATGTGGAGCCACATATAGCAGACACTGAAGTTCTCTGGTACCATTAAAAGCCTCATTCCATTTGGGCACAAAAACAAAGGTGGTAACTGGAACCTCTGCCCCTCAGAGTACTAGATCTTAGGTACTGTCTTGTAGTAAATGCAAAGAAACTTGAAGTTTCAGCTTCTCTCACTAGAGTAAGATTTTTAAAGAACAGCATAATTCTCCAAGCACTTATGTCTACCAGAGTGTCATAATATGGATGTGAAGGGTGTGGGTCCATTTCCCTATGACCACCTCTCCATTTTGGAGAATTTGTAGGAGGATTTTAATATGAGCTAGCAGAAACCCTCATTTCTATTCAGAGGCCCAAGCTCTTTTATAGCACCTTTTAAAATATTTCTTTTTTAAAAAAAAGAAAGAGAAGAAGGAGGGGGTCATGTGAAGAACCTGAGAAACATGTAACTGAGAAGCTGAAACAGGTGGCTTTAACTCCAGCTCTGGCGTCAGGGCATCAGGACCTCTGGGGCCCCACTGTGTTGGGGTTTTCCAGGACCACCCCCAGGTTTACTGGTTCACTAGGAAGACTCACTGGACTCAGCAAAGTCATACTCACAGCTGCAATTTTTTTATAGCAGAAAGATACAAAGCACAATCAGCAAAGGAAAAAGGTGCATGGGGTAAAATCCAGAGGATACCAGACAAGTGTCCTGGGGTCTCTCCTGGTGGGGTCACACAGGACACATGTAATCCCTCAACACTAAGCTGTAACAATGCAAGTGGGATGCTTTCTATCAGGAACGCTCCTTAGAGACTCAGGGGCCAGGGTTTTTACTGGGGGCTGGTCATGTAAACACCCTCTGCCTGGCACTTAACAAAATGGCAGACTCCCAGAAGGAAAAAGAAAGCAGGTATAAACACATTGTGCTGTGCAGTTTGACACAGTGAGCCACTCTTATCCCACTTGTTGGGAACTCTCCCCAAATCCACATTTCTAGGGGCCAGGCCTGTAAGCAAATCTTTCTAAGAACAGCAGTCTCAGGCCTGCTGCATCATTAACTCTTTCCTGCATTCACAACTCTAGGTCTCAGTTTCACCATGTCATTTCTCCCTGATTTGCTAGTTTGCTGTGGTTACCTTTCAAAAATACAGAGGAAACCTCCTGTTAATATGGAAACTGTAAATTGGTGGATTCATGGTCTGGGGCCACATCAAGTAACACAGCATGGCATGAGGCCATTCCTAGAGCCGGATAGCGTTTCACTCTCAGACCTGTCTTCCCAACAATCATGGTGACTTAATCATTAAACAGTCCCTGCCCTTGATATCATGCCTTCCCTGCTCATCTGTGCCCTCCAATTTTCCCTAAGAGATTGTTTAGTATTGCTGTTGAGTTCTTCTTCCTCCTGTGTCCTCACCATATATTCGAAGACCAGAAGGTTGAGGTTCACAAAACACTGGAATTTTAAAAAACTATTCTCATAGATTATCTTTCGTAAAGTTCATGGAAGGTAGTTTTATTCCCATCTAATCATCTTGTGCACAGATGGTGAGAGCAATTCTGGATCAGGCATGACTCTCAACCTCAAGGAAGCACAGCCCACTTGTCTGCCTGTGGAGCTGCCACTTGAGGGCCTGGGGCCCACTGCTGTCATATCTGCCTTAGAGACATCAAGACAGTTGACTCCTGTATATTTCAATATTCCATCCCATTTCCAGATGCCCAGTACTCCATGAACTCTCTTGTGAAACAGGGTGGAGAAAATTAAAAAGGCAAGTCAGAAGAACAGGATTTTGACCTTAGCTCTGACTCTTACTAGCTGCATAATCTCTCAAAAGTCATTTCATGTCTCTAGGCCTCTGGAGTTTCCATGGACAAAACCACAGGCTCAGACAAGCTGCCTTGTGAGTCCACTCCAGTTCTGTCTGGAATTTTTACATTACTTTCCCCCTTAAAGGAATAACCCAGGGGAAAGGTTTGCAATTAATTTGGTGTTAAGTTTCTCCATCACAGTTAAAATTATACATATCTGATCCTCACATTATTTTTAAAATTTTGACTATAACAAAGTCACTTTTGTGGACTCCAGTTGTCTTGGGTCTGATGAGACACTGATCATCTTGCATGGGCTTATACACATTGAGAATGACGTGCAAACAGAAAAGCTACATTTAAAACATGACTTCCAAAATTATAACTTATGAATTTTCATTCTGGGATGCCTTCATTCATTCAAATATATTCTAAGCACCTACTATATTAAGTGCTACCTATATAAATATAGACACAGAATCATAGATCTAGAACCATATAAACTGTAACAGTGCTGAAGTTTTCAATACTAACTGCTTTTAAAATCAGTATGTGGCATGGAACCTGGCCAGTTGTCTGGGTGAGAGTCTTATTTCTGAGGAAGTGGAATAGGAGGGGGCCCCTGATATATGATCTGGACAAAATCTCCAACTACCAACCCTCTAATCATATACTTTTTGAATAAAATTACTACAACAGAAAAAGTATTGCAAATCAAGATATTAACTGGAAAAGAATGGAGGAGAAGAGCAGAAGAAATGAAAAAATCTGCACTCACCGGGACTGTGGCAATCCTTTTTTACTGAGATCTGCCCTCACACGTTCTCCTACATGTCTGTAAATTTCCACTAAGCTGTTTATTGCTGCATCTCGAACCTAGATGTAAAAGAAGAGATCTTACAGCTGCTCTGTGTCATCCACCAGCATGCCCTGCTGGGACACAACAGGCCATATACCATCCCAATTTATCACCATTTTACCAGTGCAATTGTGAATACAATCCTTATATACATTTGTCCAGATAAAGCCATGTTTGACAGTTTTCACTTTGCTGATAAAATGTCAAAGGGTAGTAAAACTGTGGGACCCCCACCCCTATATACATGGTCAAATCCATATCCTTAGTTCTTTCCATTCCTTGAGATAATTTCAGAAAACTAGAATTTTCAGACCATCTTTTCAAATTAAGAAACAACACTACAAATAAATAAATGATACTAAAAATAAAATACCATGTAAAACACTCTGGATTTAAGTTAAATACTTAATGAGCAACAAAAATGGGTAGTACAGGGTATATGAAGTCCCATACTCAAGAAGCTCCTAGTCCTAAAAAGGAGATTTTTTTAAAGTCCTACAATTCTACATTCATTACAGGGCATGATGCAAAAACGTTATTCTAGAGCATAAAGAGCCTGCGGCTTAAAGAAGGGAGCAATCACATTCGGGGATGTCAAGGGATGCCATATGAAGAAGGAACCACTGCAATGTGCTTGGAAGGGCAAGATTTCACCGGGTTCAGATGGAATGAGATGGATTCCAAATAAGACACAGCCCGTGCAAAGGCATGAAAGCAGACATGCATGGCACATGCTTCAGGAAGAGCAAGTACACCAGTCTGGCCAGACACAGACACAAACTAAGAAAGCAGCATCAAATATGAAATAAGGTATGAGAGACAGCGTGGATTTTTTTTTAATGCGGGGAAATTCAAATATGGATTGTACATTATACATCATTGTATCAATGTTAAATTTCTTGAGTGAGAAAAATGACATGAGTTTATATAAGAAAATATCCTTGTCATTACACGATACACACCAATATGTCTAGGGTTAAAAATATCATTATAGGCCAGGTGGGGTGGCTCACGCCTATAATCCCAGCATTTTGGGAGGCCGAAGTGGGCAGATCACAAGGTCAGGAGACAGCGACCCTCCAGGCCAACATGGTGAAACCCCATCTCTACTAAAAATACAAAAACTAGCCAGTGTGGTAGTGCACACCTATAATCCCAGCTACTCAGGAGGCTGGGCAGGAGAATCGCTTGAACCCAGGAGGCGGAGGTTGCAGTGAGCCGAGATCATGCCTCTGCACTCCAGCCTGGGCAACAGAGCAAGACTCTGTCTCAAAAAAAAAAAAAAAAAAATCTATATCTAATCTATATCTATATATGTATATGTATGTATAAAATTATATCTGCACGTTACTTTCAAACGGTTCAAGAAACAAGTATGTGTCTTTATACATATATACGTGTATACACAGAGATACAAAACAAATGTGACAAATGTTAATGTAAATACAATCTTTCAACTCCTCTGTAGGTTAAAAAATTTGCACATAAAAAGGTAGGAAGAAAAACATTTTTTAAATATAAAATGGAACCAAGGCCAGCTGGTACTGGGAAGCCTGTGTTTAATTCAGTAAGCAAAGATGGGGGTATAACATCAAGGTAGTGGAGAACGAAAAGAAGGAATACAAACAAAACTACAATTTGAAATACTGAAGGTAACCCTCAGATTTACTGAGGGTAACTTACCATTTTTACCTCTCCCAGCAGAAAAAGGTAAATCTTAGGCTATATTATCTTGTCACCCAAAACCTCATGCTATGGACTGAACTGTGTTCCCCACAAAATTCAAATGATAAAGCCCTAACTCTGTAACATATTTCAAGATAGGGCCTATATGATGCAATTAAGGGCCAAGCATGGTGGTTCACACCTGTAATCCTGACACTCTGGGAGCCCAAGGTAGGAGGATTGCTTGAGCCCAGGGCAACAAAGTGAGATCCAGCCTGGGCAACGAAGTGAGCTCCTGTCTCTACAAAAAAAATATTTTTTCAATTAGCTGGGCCAGGTGGCATATGCCTACAGTCCCAGCTACTTGGGAGGCCTGAGGTAGGAGGATCACTCAAGCCCAGGAGTTGGAGGCTGCAGTGAGCTATGATCCTACCACTGTACTCTATCTAGCCTTGGAGACAAAGCAAGACATCGGCGTTTTTTCTTTTTAAAAGGAGGTGGCTGCATATGGTATGGTGGCTCACGCCTGTAATACCAGCAATCTGGGAGACCCAGACAGGTGAATCACCTGAGGTCAGGAGTTCGAGACCAGCCTAGCCAACATGGTGAAACCCGCTCTCTACTAAAAATACAAAAATTAGCTGGGCATGGTGGCACGCGCCTGTAATTCCAGCTACTTGGGAGGCTGAGGCAGGAGAATCACTTGAACCTGAGAGGCAAAGGTTGCATTCCACTGCATTCCAGCCTGGGTGACAGAGCAAGACTGTCTCAAGGAAGCAAAGGGGGAGGCAATTAATGAGGCAAATGAGGTCATGATGGTGGGATCCTAGAACGAGAGGATTAGTGTCCTCATAACAGAAACCATAGAGCTATGTACACACACAGAAGAGGCTGTATGAGCAGATAGTGAGACGGCAGACATCTACAAGCCAGGAAGAGAGCCGTGATCAGAACCCGGCCTCCAGAACTGTGAGAATATTAATGTCTGTTGTTTAACTCACTCAGTCTACAGCATTTTGTTATGGCAGCCACAGCTGACGAACACAGATTATCAATTTATTTTGGTAAAAAAAAATAATAATTTCTAACATGTGAAAACATTTTTACTTTGAAAAATGCACACATGACGGAAGTAGTCAATGTGCCATGCCTTGACTATTATTAAAGTGTATCACTTTTGCTTACTTTCTAGTGATAACACCTGCTCAGAGCAAATCTCAACGGGGGACCTCTTTAAAGAAAAATCCATACCCAGTCAGCTACTTCGAAAGTCTGGGCCATAAACGTTTAAGAGATTTAGTAGAAAAACTACTAGCTTTAGAGTCAAATATTAATAAGTAGACTTAAGGACCTACTTGGACATTAGGGAGCTGTGTAACCTTAGACAGAACACTAGAACTCCCTTGGTCTCAATTTCCTACTCTGTAAATTAAGGGTTGCTCTGAGGACTGAAAGAAATAACAGTTTCATTCAACAAATATTAGAATGCCTACTAGCTGAAAATGAAGTTGAAATGCCTACACAGGCCAGGCAGTGACATAAGAAGTGAGTGAGTGCAGCAGGCTGAGTGCAGGGGGACAAATGGCACTGGCAGGGAACCCTGCAGGCAGGGACAGAACCACAGAGCTCAGGCAGGTGGGCCAGCACCACCCCGCCACAAAGGAACAGTGGCATAGCTTTACCAGACCTGTCCTTCCAAGAAAAGTCAAAAATATAGATCTCCCAAATAGACAATCATTTGAACTCAAAATATAAAATTAAAACATGCTGCCAACCCAAGCATACATACACCCACAAATCCATAGGCTGAAACCAGCTTTACGCCAGCAGTTTGTGACCTATAGTTTGTATCTATAAAGCAATCAACACAATGGCTAGTGTTATCTATATCTTTTAAACCAACATCCTTATCCTTTAAAACAATTGTTCCTTAGACCTAGAAAGTTACAGGATCAGATAGCATTTAGGGGTCTAAACTATTCTTCACTGAAGAGAAGAAATACAGATGAACAGGTATTCTTTGGTACTGCAAAGTAGGACACTCTAATACAGAAAGAGGTTTAAATAAAAGCCACTCAGCCGAGACTGAAGGACAATGTAGCTGTTCACTTCCACACAGGCTCTCACTGCTCTCACACTGCCTCTCTGTGCTGACCCCTCAGGCTCGCCACAGGAAGGCTCCCCAATGTGTCAGGCCATGAAGACTGCAAAAAGACAAGAGCCCCGTACATGCAGCACGCTCTGCCAGGTCATAGATGCATGCTTTACAGAATCTGAAGTCTCCAACGTCTGCCCATGTTGTTCCTTCCTTCCTCATAGGGTCAGTGCACAGAGGAAGGTATAGAAGCTGGCAAGGTTAGTCACCTGCCCAAGGCCCACAGATCTGGAATGGCAGACTGGGGCTCCAAAATACCACCTCTCTGGGGGCAAGCCAACCTTCTTCTCACTTCAGCACAAGGCACCTTAATGAGCGGGTAACAAAATAAGGGCTTCCTACAAAGGAAAAAGCTCAAAGGAAGGCTTCCACCCTAGAATGGGGGACTGGGAAGCAGTTTATAAACTGATGAGACCCTAAACCTACCCTGTCCTCCTAGAACCCAGCACAGCCCCACAGCCAGTGTCTTAGAGAGTGGGTGCCCCAGCACCCCAATACAGCTGGGCCCAACAGCCCACCCCCGGCGCCCAGGCTACAGCTGAGGCAGGGCCGTGCAGGAGTTCTGTTGAGCTGGCAGCAGAGGCACTCCTTTTCCCTCCTCCTGAGCTCTGTCAGCACAGCCGTCCAGCTGGAGAGAGCATGGAATGAGCAATGGTCATCATATGTGCCAAGATGCTTTAGGCTTTGAAAACGTGAACAAACTCGGCAAGAGGGCCAGTAGTCAGCATGGGGAGGCCCACTGGATGCAACCCTCTGCTGGCCTGCCTACCAAGGGGTAACTGAGGTGCTGGGAAGATGAAATTGCAAGTTTTCAAGCAGAACTCAGGCTTTTCTTATCTAGTCGAGGGACTTCCTATTGTCAGGATGTCTCAGACTGCTGGCTGCGTCTGCTACAATCACTTCCCTGTCCCTGTGAACAAGCACAGACTTTGTACTGAAATCCACACCTCCAGGAACAAAAGCTTCTCTCGGCTCAGGAGGTACATCCTTAGCGTATGGCCATCACATAATCCTGCTCCCTTCCCAGCAGCTGTGTCACAGACACCAGCAATCTTGCTATGTCAGGACCTGTTGTCATACAGGATGATACATTTCCCCAGTGCTCTAATGATTCTGAGTTGGGCTTTCAGTAACCAAAAGCATCCTCGCCCACACACACTGTGCACCTGTGGGCCACTCCGAAAGGCTTCCCTGCTCTGAGTCACTGTATTCACACCACTAAGGAAACGAACACTTGCCAAGGTGATTTTAAACACCAAATCCAGTCTATGTTAGCCACTGCCTGAAGAGCTGAGAGAGGGTTCTCCACACCCTGGCTGTAGGGAAACGAGGAGCTGGAGGCTGACCGCTAGGTCCAGGCGCCTGAGTGCAGAGACAACACTGATACAACAGTGTCCTCTCTGGTCTGAGACGTGGCAAATAATGGAAAGTCATTCAAATAGTCATGGGGCACCGGGAACTGCAAAGAGGAAGAAGTTATAATCCTAACTCTAGAGGTTCAGAGACTAGTAGGAAAGATTTGAAAAGATTAAAATAAAGGCAAGAGCAAAAGCAGATGCAAGCTACACATGTACGCCAGAAGCAGGAATCATTAACTTGATTAGTATCAGGGAGGTGGATGCAGAACTTCCTGGCAGAAGGGAGATATGGATTGATTATGTGCCTGTGTGTGCGTGTGTGTGTGTGTGTGTGCGTGCGCGCGCAAATATACGTGCAAACAAAACATGTCTAAGGCACATGTGAATATATGGATTATTTCCAGAGTGCTCAGTTTGGAATGTTCCAGCTGTAAATGCTGTCTACTACAGAATACTGAAAGCTGCCTGCAGAATACCAATCTCATCTTACAGATGAGGCAGGGGAAATGAAAAAACAAAACAAATAACAAGAACTTTCTCAAAAGCAGACACATAGGCCTAGAACTCAACCCATGAAACCACTGTAGGCTCCAAATTCCTGGCCAAGACTTAGGGTTTCCTGGCACAAAAAGTATAACTGCCATTAAAGATACCAGGCAGGAAGTGCTAACTTGAATTTTTGGCTTAATGAAACATTTTAAACAAGTCTTACATTTTATATCTTATTTTAAAAAACTGTTTGCTTCCTCATAAATTATTTTTATAAATTATACAATCTATAAATTATACAATCATGCAGCAGTAAGATGCAATCCATTAAATGTATTACTTTTGTTTTTCAGTTGTATTATTATTATTACCCATAAGCAGTTCAGGAGCACCTGATTTTAGTGAAATTCATGTCTGGGATATGGCAGCATGAGTACAGTCTACTCCAGGGCTGCCAATGTGTGGTAGAAATATGGCTATGTCAATATCACAAATACATCTCAAGACACTAAGGCTATCTCACAGTTAAGGCTTTTCATATATTTAAAGCACTATACACCTGAGTTTCTCAGAAACCCACTGGCACATGGCAGGGGCATGATTTCTGCAAATGAAAATGGCCACCTCAGATGATGAGAAGACTACTGAGTAACTTGGCCTTCTGAGAGTCTTCTACTTGGACCAACCAGTCACAACACGCACTTAAAAACATTCACTTGCAAGGACTCTCATGAGGATTGAGGAGTGAGGCACTTACCACTGCCCCCACTTTAAAGGGGAAACTGAGGCTCAAGATCCAAGTGACTCCAAGGTTAGCTGGCTGTTACATGCAAAGCAGGGATCTATGCCTTTAACCTTGGTGTCTTACATTGCATCAGGTGGCTCAAGTATTAATATTAAACATATCCTGCCTTTTGGCAACTTTAGAACAGTATGTCAAACTGTTAAAGACTCAATGTTACCTTTTTTAAACAACTGAATCAACATTTTGAGAATGTGGGATTGTGCTGATCATCTGAAATTTAATCTGTGTACCTCTAAAATAAAGAATATCTAGTTAAAATCCCTTGGGACAAGTTAACTCCTCCTCTAGACCTAAAGGAGAAAAATAGTATCAGAGAGCAGCCCAGCACAGAAACAAACTAGGCCCTTCCTGTCTCTTTTCTGCAGAAGCTTTAAGGAACTTTTAAGTGAGGCCTCCTCTGGTAGAAAACTTCAGAGGAAAGGAAAACCTGTGAAAAGTAAGACATTCTTCAAGGCTTATCTGAATAGCTTCAAGGATGAGAATGTACCCACTCAAAATTTTAAATGTGCTTAACACTCCACTCCCAATGTCTCTCAAAATCTACACCAAATCCACGATCTTTTGGGCAGGGAAATACTGAGGTCATTCATCAGTGAAGAGCCCCAGGACAACGCGATGTCTCCTTCACTTTCCTCGAGGAAGTTGTCCACCTTAGTTGCAGAAGCAAAATTCGAGGCTCAGAAACAAAATCGAGCTAGTACTCTCCAACCCCTCCCCCAAAAAGCTCAAGGATCCACACAGACAAGGGAGGCCCGCAGCATGAGCTCTCAGTAAATATATGCGGAAGAAGGAGGAAAAAGGGGAAAAGTAGATGAGTGAGGGGATCCCGTGGGATGAACGGCATTGTGGCACACACCCATGCAGTGCTCCCCTCCACTCTAGACAATGTCCCTTGTTGTCGTTCTGGACAGTGTAGGTCTGGTCTGTGTTTTTTGTTTTTTTGTTTGTTTGAGGCGGAATTTCGCTCTGTTATCCAGACTGGAGTGCAGTGGTACCATCTCAGCTCACTGCAACCTCCGCCTCCCGGGTTCAAGCGATTCTCCTGCCTCGGCCTCCTAAGTGGCTGGGATCACAGGTGTGCACCACTATGCCCGGCTAATTCTTGTATTTTTAGTAGAGATGGGGTTTCACTATGTTGGTCAGGCTGGCCTCGAACTCCTGACCTCAAGTGATCCACTTGCCTCGGCCTCCCAAAGTGCTGGGATTACAGGCATGAGCCACCGTGCCTGGCCTGGTCTGTGTTTTATATTGACTCCACCACGGAAGTGCATTTAGAGAGCCCAGCCCTCACCGACCACCTCAGGTTCTAAGATCCCCACAGGTAGTGTCAACATTCACATCACCTGTCTGACCAAAGTCAGCAACTGAACGAGGAACAAATCACCTCAACAAGTTGGCTTCTCTGCTCTGCTAGAGCACTCCATGTGGCAGCAGGGACCCCCCCAGGGTGTGGCCTCTAAAAGGATTTTTCCCACAGAAAACAAAAACAGAAACAAAACCAAAAGGGGGAAGGGTACAACAAAATAATCTATTTGGTAATTTAGAATCTTTTTAAAAACTGGTTCAACTTATCTTTAATTTAACATTGAATATAAAGTATGATTAAGTAAATAAAAATGTCTAAACATTTCTTTCCAATGCCATATATTTTCCTTTTTTAAAAAAAAGATGAAGTCTTCCTGGGTTGCTCAGGTTGGAATGCAGTGGCACAATCTTGGCTCGCTGTAACCTCTACCTCCCAGGTTCAGGTGATTCTTGTGCCTCAGTCTCCTGATAGCTGGGATTATAGACATGCGCCACCACACCTGGTTACTTTTTTTTTTGTATTTTTAGTAGAGACGGAGTTTCACCATGTTGGCCAGGCTTGTCTTGAACTCCTGGCCTCAAGTGATCTGCCCACCTTGGCCTTCTAAGTGTTGGGATTACAGGCGTGAGCCCACCATGGCCAGCCTAATGCCATTTATTTTCAACGAAGGCTGAAAAAGGGCATGAGCAGCAGAAGAAAGCAGGGAGACAGCAGACGACAGGCAGTGAGGAGGGCAGAGGCTGGGGTGGAAGGAGCAGCACGACAGCCAGAGACAGGAGACACGCCTGCTGCTGGAACCAAGAGCAAGGCAAGGAAAGGGCCTGGAGAGCAGGAGGGGTGCTGCAGACTCCGGGGAGCTTGAGGCTGGGGGAGGCTGGGTGGAAGGCGAGCCTGATACAACCTCTTGGGAAGGTAACTTAGCAGTTACCAAGATTTCAAGGAGAGGCCACTGACCATGGACAGTTCTCTTATAAATTACTGTTCCATTTTCTGAACCTTCTGCTAATGTATGTTTCTTATCAGCTTGAATGAGATGACATAATAAAAATGATTCTGGTTGAGAAAGAGCATTGAACTGGGAAGCGAGTTCAGTGTTATTTCTCCAGCCCAGACTTGTACAACTTCGTGAATTGCCTGGTAACTACTCACAGGTGAGACAGCCAGCGCCTCTCCTACCCTCACACAAGGAAGTGGTGCTTTTCATTAATTTAGGTAAAATCTGCAGCTCTTAAACGTTCAGTTTGAAAGAGTTTCCACAATGATATATACACAGTGGAGCTGCCCCCCCACAGCAAAATGAAGAACATTTCCATCACCTCAGAACAGTCCCCTCAGACCCTCTTCCAATCATTCTCCCCCACCTCAGCACAGATTCTGCACCACTACCCCTGGCACCACCCCTTTTGGCTGCAGAAAAAGTGGCCACACATCTTATCTCGGAGGCTGGTCTGGATAACATCAATTTCTAGGCTAGTGATTTCTCAGCCCTGGGTATAGAAGAGGGCAGAGTGGCCACCACATTTACCAATTTAATACTTAAAGGTATACACATTTTATACATTTAAATGGATAAATATTTTATAAAAGCTAATGGGTACTGGACTCTTAAATAATCATCATTGCTCTATGAAGATTAGGACCACAGTCCCAGCCACCTATTGGGAATAGACAGAACACCACAACGCATCTGAACAGTCTAGGCACCGACCTCCCCCCAGGGGTTTTCCTTCTCACTCACCTGGCTGTTTGGATCCCCAAGTAAGTTGCATATATGTGGCACGATCTTGCTTAGTGTTAAAGTCTGTGCTCCAGAGCTGAAAACAAAAGGAGTGCCTTCTTGTTAGTGAGAACCGAGAAAAGAAAAACGCCTGTCTGCCCACACCTGCCCTCCCTGTGTCTCCCCAACCCCCATCACCACCTCACACCAAGTCTCTCTCCATCCCATCCACGCTGGCTCCAGAGTAAATGTATCTGATGGCCCCTTTGCTCAGAGTTCAAAACCTAGGGTGGCTTCTCCCAGATGAGACTTCCTCCAGTCCCCCAGGGCTATGGCGGAACAGGCCCTACCCCTTTAAGGCTGGGCCAGAACTCTGGCCCGCTCCCAGTCCGCTTGCCTCACAGGTGCTGCCTCTGCATTACCGTCTGTCACTGCAAGGCAACTACAAGTCGCTTGAGGGACCTTGCTTAATTCTCTCATGTGCTGTGGCAGAGCTCTCTGCTACAGTAGACATTAAGGCAACACTGCTGGATAAAAAGACAGCAATCAAACCAGAGCATCTGCCCTACTAGGACACATCTGAGCCAAGCACTGCCCTACTGGGGCACATTTGAGTTACAATTTTCACCATCACCATCGCTGCCATGACAAATAGCCTTTGTAAATACAAATCTCTTGGTTAATGTGCCTACAATCTTAGCATAAATTCCTACAATGGGAGCTGCTACGGTCAAAGGCTAGAACTTTTTTTTTTAAAGCTTCAGCTACATGTGGCCAAATTTAATGGCACTGAAAAGGCTAACATATTAAGATGGGAAAAATTTACAAAGTAATATAAACATTAATCTCAATTTTGTTTTTAAAAATAACGTAACTCATTATTTTCATAATCAGAAAAAAGGGTTGAAATTTGTAATTTTAAAAAAGCCTCTCCTACAAATCAGCACATGAAAAAAACGTCAACAGTCATTAGATAAAAACAACTTAAAGCCACAATGAGGTATTACCACACACATATAAAAATGGCTAAAATTAAAAAGTGACAACATCCAATGGCCAGCAAGGGTATGAAGAAACCAGATCACTCAGACATTGCCGGTGGGAAAGTAAAACGGTACGGACAACTCCGGGAGAAAAACTGGCAGTTTCTTGTAAACTAAAAATGAACTTACCAAATGACCCAGCAAGTGTACTCCTGGGCACTGATCCAAGAGACATGGAAACTTATGTTCACATAGAAACTTGTACATGCATGTTCACAGCAGCTTTATCCATAAAAGCCAAAAACTGCAAATTACCCAAATGTTCTTCAACAGGTGAATAGTTTAGCCAACTGTGATACATCTATACCTAGGAATTCTATTTAACAATAAAATGAACTATCAGTCAATGACATGGGCAACCTCAAGGGTATTACGCTGAGTGAAAAAAAGATAAATTCAAAAGGTTACATACTGTATAATTCCATTTACATAACATTCTTGAAATGACAAAATCATAGGGAGGGAGAACAGATGCATGGCTGCCGGGGTCAGGGTGTGGCTACACACGGCAGCATGAGGAAGGGGTGCAGTTGTAAATACACACAAATACGCATGTGTTTACCTGAGAAATTTGCACAAGCTCTGGGGATTGTATCAATCTCAACTTCCTGGTACTGATGCTGTACTACAGTTATTCAAGAAGCTAACATTGGACAAGGGGGATAAGGGGGCATGGACCTCACACTACATCTCTTTGCAACTTCCTGCAAATCTATATTTCAAAATAAAAAGTTTTTAAAAATTCAGCCAGGTAAAAATGTCAGACTCATCGCAGACTTACGCATTGAGTGTTGCTATAAGGCAGAGACAGATTCCTTCTCGAGTACGGAAATTCTTGTGTTTGAAGCCTCCAAGCATTCTGTCCCATACGTACTGCAGATGACAAAGAACAGGTGAGGAACACAGAAGACTGTTGCAGCTGTCACTTAGTAAGGGGGCAATGGAAGGGGGCCTCTTAACGAGTGCCAAGTTAGTCCCACCCTCTACCAACACGTTTAATACTTTCAAGGGCATACTGGAAAATGATGGCATCTATCATGTTATCAAGTATTACAATTTTAAAAACATATTCATTTACATAATTGCATTTAATTCTCCCAAGAACTCTGAAGGGGAGGTATAACTGTCCTCGTTTTATAGTGAGGAAAGCAAGGCCAAAAGAGCCAGTGAGTTGCTGAAGATCACACACTCACACTGTGCTCTGATTTTCTGATCACCCCCCTAATAACAGACAGTGGAACCCAGGAAGGCAGGGCTGTTTCAGTCCATCCCAGCAGCCCCAACTCACTAGAAGACAGGGGCCAGAGCTCCAGTCAGGCCTGCTGACTCCCCAGACACTACAGCTTCCTCTTTTCAGAGAACTGGAGAATCAGTTACATAAATGAACTGAAGAGTCTAATAGGTTAAAACCAAATATATTAAATTCACTAATTTATTCAAAACCCCCATGTTAAACCCACTAATTTTTTCATCTTATACTTTTGTGACTTATTTAAATATCTTGCATGGGGAACAGATTGAATGCTGTGAAAATTTTTATCTGTAATACATCAGCTTAAGTCCATGGAGTCACACCATTTGTGCAAGTACACACACCATTGTGCGTGCATGTGCACAGACAGGCCCGCTGACCTCAAAACACATCTCTTGCCCTACCTGGGGATTAGCAGCTTGATCCATGATCTTTAGCAGCAGCGTTTGGTCCTGCTCCCTCACAGAGTCTTTAGCATCTCCTAGTCTGTCTATTAGACTTGGCAGCACTGAAAATCAAAACGGAAACTGGTCAAATGAAACCCTATTTGGGGGTCTGTGGTCACCAAGTATTGCTATTTCAATTATGTGGGAAGACAAACCCCTGACCTAAATGACGTGTCTCATTCTAAAACCACTCATCTTTGCTCACAGCTCTATTCTTGCTGAAATCCATGAAAGTCAGCAAAAGCTTCTGCAAAATCTTTTGCATAGACAGATATACTATTTGTCTTCATTCTTACCCCACACTCTTCCAGCCAGTTCCCAATGTATTTGTAAGCTGATAAAAATGGAAGGCCTTGGCAGGAAGAGTCAACAGAAAGGAAAATTTAGGTAAAAGTCAAGGAGAGGGGCTCCAGCATATGTGTTTGGGGGTGGAAGGAGTAGGCACTTATGGGTAAGTCTTACATTTCATTGACATTGTGTGTTTTTAGTTTTACATCACACCCAAACACACATGAGACAGAGCCCAGCTTTCCATCTTCCCCCACATACCCAAATGAGGACCCTCCCACCAGTGCTCCAAGGACACCTGTAGACCAGAGGTCAGCTTATTTTAACAGTCTGGAAACCTCTATTACAAGAGATATCTCTGAATAGTTCAGCTAATTTAGGAGGAAAATGGAACACTATTAAAATATGGAATTTCTAAAAGGAATGGTTTATTTGTAAAAAGATACTAGGTGCTAGAATGGGATAATAGTTCACCACTTTTTCAGAAGGAGCATATTGATAAGAAAGTTAACAGAAAAGAACAAATACATGTGTGGCAATGAAAATAGAGAGATTCCATAAGGAAATGGTTGCATAGAGCTGCTTAGTGTTTATACTGCCCCTGTGAAACACCGGAGGTCAAGAATTTCGAGGTATTTAAATCTATGAAATCTGTGGGTGTTGTTCCATTTGGCTGACGTATTGTTTTCCCTCAAAATAACAGCGAACATTTACTATACACTTGTAATGACATTTACAATCAAGGTGAAAATGGTAATGCCAACCATAATCAACTGGGGAAAAATACAGCTGGCTCGGTTTTATAGGACTTCTCAAAGAAAACTGCCTCTCATTAAAGGGGACCAGGGGTCAGGGACAAATATGGCTTGGTTGGCACGAAAGGGTGACAGCTAATTTAGCATAAGAAATAAAAACGGCACTAATATGAGTTCCATATGAGAACACAAAGAAGCCAGCACAAAGATAAGGGGGAGGGTAAGGGCACCTGTAGGCCCAGAGGCCAGAGAAGCCCAGCAGGGAGGGAAGGCAGCGGTGGCCAGGGCTGCGGGAGGGAAGGCAGCGGTGCAGCCGGCCAGGGCTGCGGGAGGGAAGGCAACGGTGCAACGGGCAGGGGCTGCGGGGGCTGCGGGGCGAGGACTGGCTGTTTGGAAGGAGCTGCAGCGAGACCAAGGGGGATGAATGGGGAGGCAGGGTGGCTGCCGGAAGGGTTGGAAGCAGCTAAGTGGAGGAGCCGGAGAGGCCGAGGGAAGGCTGGGGTCTGAAGGGGCCGGGGCCGCTTCACTACTGCCGCAGCTCACCTGTGCCGATCTGCGCCTTGAACCGATCCTGCAGCCGGGTCACGAGGGCGGACAGGATGTCCATGCCCAGCAGAACCACCTGCAACGGGAAACACCCGGAGCCAGTTAGCGGCCGGCCTGCGGGGCAGCGCTCCCGCCCACCCGCTCCGGGGACACCCCGACATTTCTAGTCCAAACGCAGTCAGAGAGTCCAGAGCGTGCATGCCGACTGGGAGAACCAAACTGATTAGCGCGAGGAAGGACGATCTTCCACAAAAAGAGCTGTGTACAGCTATAATGGAAAATACTCTGTGAGGGGAAAAACGAAATAAAAGGCTATACAGCGTAGCCAAAGCCGGATTAGCCGCCTTGCAGAGTTTAAGAGCGCGCCGCGGTCCCGCCCCCTCCAGTTCCGCCCCGACGAAGAGCGTATGCAAATTTTCGAGCGGCCGACGCTCGGTCTTCTGGGTAAAACCCGGCCGCCGTTTCTGTGACCCTTCAGGAGCCTCCGAAAACAAAGAATTGGTGGTGTCGTCAAAAGCTATGCAGGCTGCAGGTAAGGTAACTACCAGGCCGACTAGGGCGGGACTCACGAATTAACTACCACAACCCTACAAGGTATTGGGGCTTCCTGCTTGCAGCGCACGACACCTTTATCTTAACCATCCTTTTCTTGGGGTTGCGCTACTGTCCAATGAGCGCATAGTGAGGGCAGTACTGCTAACGCCTAAACAACACGCTCGCATCAACTGAAGTTCTGCTTTACGTTGGTGCAATTTTTGGAAAAAATGAAAACCCTTCAATAACGGTAAACCATGAATAAATTTAGGTTTTGTGTTTTATTATACCAGTAGATGGCGCACGATAAGTATGATTACGTTTCCACGAAAACCTCCGAGTTTTTCCTAGGAAAACATTTGGGACTTAAAGTCAACTTGACCCGGAGTGTCCAAAGCAACTGTCCTGTCTCACTTCTCTTCGTGCTTAGCTAGCCCTGTAACCTAGGTGGAGTTTCAGTCAGCGTTTGCACCTCCACATGAGATGTCATCAGCATTTTGGGAGGCTGAGGTGGGCAGATCTCCATTGTGAGACTTGATTAAACATGCTTCCAAACACAATGTCGGGCAGTGCCCAATGTTCGTATACGGCCTGCCCCTGCGTCTGGCCGCTGATAAGAGCAAAAACTGCTGGTTTTTCTACTCAGCTTTGAAATCTACTGCTTCAAAACTGAAGGAATCCAAAGTGGCCTAATAATCCCCACAATATATAAAATGTTCTTGAAAGAAACAGGCTACCTGACAATATTAAAGAAAATAATTTTTAAAACTTTTATGAAGAGAACAACTTGTAAACAGATTTTTCTTTTAATAATATAATAATGGTATAAACATTTTAAAATAATGACTCTATTTTTGAGCTAAAAAGGATTAGGTTTCACACTATGACTTTCTTCTAAACAGTACGGTATGAAGTGGGGGGAGTAACTACATCCAGCAGAGACAGTGGAGGTCACCATCAAGTACACTTGATATGGTGTTATGAAAACGGCATTCTGCCTCTGTGATAGTCCTTACCAAAACCCCTAAGCCCAGTCTAAGCATGAGGAAAACAAATTCCAAGAGAGGAGCATCCTACAAAACACCTGACCAGTACTGCTCAAAACTATCAAGATCTTCAAACGCAAGAACTCTGAGAAACTCACAACAACAGGAGCTAAGGGAAGCATAACAAAATGTAATGAGGTGTCCTGGAAGAGAGTCTAAACCAGAAAAATGAGATTTTTCTTTAGGTAGAAACTAAGGAAATATTAATACAGCATGAACTTTAGTAATAATATATCAATACTGGATCATTAGTTGTAATAAACCACACTAATGTTAGATATAATAATGAGATTGTATTATCTTTGCAATTTTTCCGTAGGAAAAAAAAGTTGATTTTTTAAAAAAGAACACCCCTGCTGGGCACTGTACGTTGGGAGGCCAAGGCAGGCAGATCACGAGGTCAGGAGATCGAGACCCTCCTGACCAACCTGGTAAAACCCTGTCTCTACTAAAAATACAAAAATTAGCTGGGCATGGCGACGAGTGCCTATAATTCCAGCTACTCAGGAGGCAGGAGAATCACTTGAACCAGGGAGTCAGAGGTTGCAGTGAGCCAAGATCGTACCACTGCACTCCAGCCTGTCGACAGAGTGAGACTCCATCTCAAAAAAAAAAAAAAAGCCAGCCCATCACTTAAGTGAGTCATTTAGCTTTTGTCTGGTGAAATCTTAAGCATCTGTACAGTTGCATTACTGGTTACAGGTAGGGGTGTTATTCATTACAGAAACATCCCTTCATACATGTTCAAGGCTAAGGTAAAGAGGACTATAGCATGAAAACTGACTTCAGCTTTTCCAGGGTGGCAGTATACTTAGTAGGTCTGAGCAGAGAAGGCCTCATTAAGTCCGGACAGTCAGGTTTCAATGCCTTGCCTAGATGGACTGGGGAGTGTGGAAACTCCCAAAGGAGACTGAGTGGGCAGATGCACCTGAGCCCCAAAGAAATAGGACAGGAAAGGTCAAGGGCGCCAGCCGGGATGACGGAAGGCAGTTCCAGCACTGACAGCTCGGGCCCTTCTCCAGGGCTTCCATTTCCCTACTGAAGAAAGGATACATGAAAAAGTCCTTGCCCAGAAGATCACTCTAATAATGAGCTGTAAAGACCTCTTTGTGCCTAAATCTCCTCATCTGTAAAACAGGGACAATAATAACAGCTACCTCGTGGTTGTTATGAGAATTAAATAAAGTGTGAATGTAAAATGCTTGAAACTGCCTTGCACATAAGGGCACTTTTTTCCCCCGTTTCTGCTTTCTTCAGGCCTTAGGTCTACAAAACCAACCTCTTCTGCATGGCTCACTGGAACACGCAATTCTGTTTTATGGAATGAAGTGTTGCCTAATTCTAAAATCACAAATAAAAGCCAATCAAAATCTTTAAACTAAATTTGTCATAATTTTTTCTTCCAACACCATTAACTGCATGGCCCTTGAACACTGCCTCTGACCTTTTACTAATATCTACATTTGTGCTTGTTTCCCCAGCTAAACTCCTTGAATGTAAGGAATACTACCATCTTGCATTTCCTCGGAATTCCCATAATAATAGCATGACACTGGGTACAAAGTAGGTGATCGATAAACCCTACTTTATTGACGTGAATGAGGCTGGAACAGATGAGTTCTCAAGATCCAACACAGTTTCATTATCCTAAAAACCTCTAAAAGACCCTTTTGTAAAAGAGAGAAGAGGGCTGACCAGGTCACTGGGACCAACACTCCTGCTGAGCACAACAAACAATGCTGGATATAAAAGAACATCTGCTTGAAAGCATCAGAGAACTAAGAAGGCACAGAACTTCCAGGTCAAGAAACACAGACAACTAAAATTCACAGAGATGAGCCTCCAGCAACTGGTCCACTTTGCCCTGGGGCCATTTAAACACTGGGAAAGGGCACAGAGAATCACTTTTAATAATCTCTTGGGTCATCTAGGAGGGCAAAGGTTAGATTCCAAAGCCCTCCAAAATTGGTGGCCTAGTTAACTCCCTACCACTTGGACTGGAAACCCAAATGGCTAGACTTTAGGAAGAGAGTGAGTTGGAAACAAAACAGCCTTCACGCGGACTGCAGCCCAGTTTCCAAGCATCTGGGTAGTCTGGAAAAATCCTAATCCCTGACATCAGATTGAAGTGAGTTTAGACTGTGCCCAAAAGCCCTGAGCAGATAAAAACACAAGTCATTTCCGGATTTAGAAACATCATCCTAGTCTAGTCTTCGATTTATTCCTGTAATAATTTTTCTTTTGTTGTTGTTGTTTGTTTTTTGAGACAGAGTCTCACTCTGTCGCCCAGGTTGGGAGTGCAATGGTGCAATCTCTGCTCACTGCAACCTTCGCCTCCCAGGTTCAAGAAATTCTTGTGCCTCAGCCTCCTGAGTAGCTGGGATGTGTGATTAGCCCAGCTAAGTTTTGCATTTTTAGTAGATACAGGGTTTACCACATTGGCCAGATTAGTCTCGAACTCCTGACCTCAAGCTATCTGCCCGCCTCGGCTCCCAAAGTGCTGGGATTACAAGCATGAGCCACTGCACCCTGCCTATTCCTGTAACAATTTTTCAGAGAGAACATCTGAAACATAACCAAAGATAACCAGGCGCACAGGACAAAGTAAATGAAAAGTAGCAGAAACAAAGACCAACCGGAACTCTGGATCCCTGGATAGGAGAATCATTAACAACAGACTTTAAAATAACAAGTCAGACCAGGTGTGGTGTCTCAGCCCAGCACTTTGGGAGGCCGAGGCGGGCAGATCACCTGAGTTCAGGAGTTCGAGACTAGCCTGGGCAAGATGATGAAATTCCATCTCTATAAAAAAATTTAAAAATTAGCTGGGTGTGGTGGTGTGTACCTGTGGTCCCAGCTGCTCTGCACAGTAGGCTGAGGTGGGAGGATCACTTCAGCCTGGGAGGCAGAGGTTGCAGGGAGTGGAGATCACGTCCCTGCACTCCAGCCTGGGCAACCGAGAGAGACACCCCATCTCAATAAATTAATTAAATTAAATAAGTCTTATTATGTCTATGAAGAAAAAACACATGATTAAAGTTTTGGGTAGATAAATGAAAATTTTTTTTTTTTTGAGATGGATTCTTGCTCTTTCACCAGGTTGGATGGAGTGCAATGGCGCGATCTCGGCTCACTACAACCTCTGTCTCCCAGATTCAAGCAATTCCCCTGCTTCAACCTCCTGAGTAGCTGGGACTACAGGTGCGTACCACCACACTTGGCTAATTTTTTGTATTTTAGTAGAGACGGGGTTTCACCATGGCCAGGATGTCTCGATATCCTGACCTCATGATCTACCTGCAAGAACCTCCCAAAGTGCTGGGATTACAGGCATGAGCCACCGTGACCAGCCGAGAAATGACAACTTTTAAAATTACAGAGATTAAACAAATAATACAAGAGAAAAAATGAAATACTGAATGAATGGGCTTTTTTTTTTCTAAGTGCACTGTAAATACATGAAGAGAACCAAACAGGAAACTAAGTCTGCAGAAAA